AGCTCTGTCTTGGGGATTGTGGGGAGGAGAGTGACGGTGCTCTAGTCCCTTCTTGAAGCAAGCACTGCACCTCGCTTTTTTGGGCGTGTAAACTCCCCGTACCGGGGGCGCAGCCGAAGTTGGTTGCAGTCTTCAACCCAGGGCAGTTCCAATCTCCAAATCCCAGTCCACGCGCCCCGCTGAAATTGCCTTAGACACAGCTTCCCAGGCAACCCCCTCGGGCAATTCCAGGCCCCCTGTGGAGCTCTGGGGGTGGAGTCAGAATCGCCGCTTCCTTCTCTGGGTTGGGCTGGCGAGCATGGGCGGGGGTTTGCCTGCCGAGTGCTCTGAGCCTGAGTCCGCTGGAGTGAGTTAAACCGGGTCCCTCTATGGCTCGTCACCCGAAACACGAACTCACAGGCTAATTACCCAGTTTTTAGTTCTTTGCCTTCCCTCTGGAGTTCCAGCCAGCCAGGAGCGTGGACGCTCTGTGTCCGCGCGGCTCTTTCAGCGGCCCCAGCCGCCCGGGAGCTACAGTGGCGGCAGGCGCGCCACCACTCTGAAGTCCAGCCTCCAGGAGCCCGCACAAAGAAGCAGTTTGTGTGCTCAGCCCCCCCCCTCCCAGGACCAGTTGGCGCGAGGTGACCTGGTGTGCAGGTATTTGGCAAGTACGGTCTTTCTGTGCACCGAGCGGAGGTTTTTCCTCCCCGAGCTGAGGTTTTTCTCTTTCGGACTCTCTCCTTTTCCCCTCTCACTCCCCATAGAGGGTAGAGGGGGATCGCCTCCCACCCTGGAGTCTCCGATCTCGGCCCGATTTTATCTTCCCCGGTTAGCACTCACATTAGAAGGCTCTCTCAGTGGATTCTGCGTCCTTTTTCTCCCAATCTCTCAGGTTTTGTAAGGTTTCCAATGGCTTCAGATCTTTTCTGTGTGATGTATGGGCACGAGTGCAAGTATGGAGCTCCTTACTTCCTCTCCATCTTGCCCTCTCTCTCAGCATATAGATTTTTTTAAATGCATAAATTCACCCTGTGTCTTTTGATTGGAGCATTTAGACCATTAGCATTTAAAGTAATTATTGATAAGTGTGTATTTATTATTAATTATTTTTTTGTTGTGTTTATAGTTCTTCTCTTTTCCTTTCTTGTTCACTTGTGGTTTGATGACTTTTTTTAGTATTATGCTGGATTCCTTTCTCTATTTTTTGTGTATCGTAGGTTTTTTTGTTTGTGGTTACCATGAGGTTGATATGTAACATCCTTTGTGTATAGCAGTCTGTCTTACGTTGCTGGTCACTTAAGTTCAAACACACTCTAAGGACACTATATTTTTATTCCCCCCACTCCACATTTTATGTATTTGAATGTCCTATTTTATATCTTTTTATTTTTGTGCATCCTTAGCTAACTTTTTCAGATAACAATTGTTTTTACTACTTTTGTCTTTTAACCTTCATATTAGCTTTGTAGGTAGTTGACCTACTTTTCCTCAGTTTGTTTTCCCCAGTGAAATTTGTTTCTTTTCATAATTTGCTTCTAGTTATGGCTTTCTCTTTTTCACGTCATGAATTCCCTTTGAGGGACACCTGAGTGGCTCAGTCAGTTAAGCGTCCGACTTCGGCAAAGTTCATGATCTCATGGTTCATGGGTTTGAGCCCCGCGTTGGGCTCTGTGCTGACAGCCAGCTCAGAGCTTGGAGCCTGTTTCAGATTCTGTGTCTCCCTCTCTCTCTGACCTTCCCCTGCTCATGCTGTCTCTCTTTCTCAGAAATAAAACATTTTTAAAAAAAAATCTGTTGATTCTCTGTAGTGTATTTTTCACTTTAGTTATTTAATTCTTAGACTCAGATTGTTTCTTTTTCATATTTTTTTCTTTGTTGGTGTTATCACTTAGTTCATCCACTCTTCTCTCAAGTCTGATGAATATCTTTATGACCATTACTTTGAGATCCTTATCAGATAGATTGTTGATCTCCATTTCATTTAGTTCTTTTTCTGAAGTTTTGTCTTATTCTTTTGTTTAGAACATATTCCTCTGTCTCCTCATTTTGTCTGAGACTATGTGTTTGTTTTTGGGTATTAGGTAGGTCAGCTGTGTCTTCTGGTCTTGATAAGTAGTGGCCTTATGAAGAAGGCATCTTGTGGTGCCCATTAGTGCAGTCTCCTTGATCAACAGAACCAGCCACCACTGTGGGTGTGTCCCTTATGTGGGTTCATAGGTCTTTCTGTTGTGACTTGACTGTGACTGCTGCTGGTATGCTTTTGGACGTGGCTGACCATCAGCCCTGTTGTCAGCAATGATTTGTGTGACTGCTGCAAGCATATTGGTGGGCAGAAATGGACCCAGGTGCAGTTTGCTAAGTGGTACAACTGTAACTCCTGTCAGCTTTCTGGTGGTTGGGATAGCTCCTTTCACAGCTGGTCCCATCTATAGTTACTGCTGGTGTGCTGGTAGGTGGAGTTAGTTCCCATTGTAGCTGGCTGAGAGGCTGGGTTACAGATGCTGTTGGCATGCTATTGGGTACAAACATCCCTTGGTACAGCTGGCTAATTCTCTTGGCCACAATGGCTGTGCGTATGCTGGTTGATAGGAATGATTCCCCAGTGAAGGAGTCACTTTGTAGGGGCACCTGGTCCCAGGCTGAGCTACCATCCAGGTATGGTGAAGCAATAGTTTCTTTGGAGGGGCTCCTGCTGGGGTGGGCCAGCAGGGGAACACTAGGGCAGGGCAAGCAGTGCTAGCAGGGTAGATGGTGAGTATCAGAACTGATGTCTACCAGCGTTGGGCCAGCTAGAATGAAGGAAGTCAGGAAGAATGGTGCCTACCAGCACTCCCATTCCTGGAGAACGTTCCAATAGATCCCTTTCTCTCTAGCACATACCTAAAATTGGTCAGTAAATCTCCATCACATATAACACAGGTGTTTTTCAAACTGCTGCTTCTGTGTTAAGTCTCAGACTGAGCAATACAGCGAGCTGGCCCTTTCAGAGCAAAGTCTCAGTTTCCTCTAGCCATGTGGCTCTCCTTGAGTCAAGCTCTGCTGATTTTCGAATCTCCCAGTTTTGAGCCCTGCTGATTTTCTCAGAGAGACATAATGGGAGCTCTTCCTTTTGGTGTAGCTCCCCAAGTCCAGAGGTACACAAAGTAGGTCTTGATCCAGTCACTCCCCAAGGAGAGGACCTCCGTGGCTTTGATATCCCTTCTGCTTGTGTGTCACCATGCCAAATATTTGGTTCTCGGCTATGCCTCTGCCCCTTCTGTCCTTCTTGATTTGGCCTTCTTTTAATGTCATTGGCTTTTGGAGGATCTGTTCTGCCAGTGTTCAGGTGGTTTTCAGAGTACATCACATTATATGAAGTCATTGCCTTAGTGTGTCTGTGGGAGGAGGTGAGCTCAGGATCCTCCTATTCTGTCATCTTCCTGTTCTCCTTTAGTTGTTTTAAATGTCATTGTGGGTTGAGGATGGAGAATCTGGACAGAGCTTCCCAGTCTGCTAACTTGTAGATGTCCCTAAAAAAATTATTTTATCTATTTTATAAACAGGAATACCGAAGCTCAGATAGTGACTTGTGCAAGTTTACACGGATAAAGATAAAGGCTGGGATTTGACTATATTTCTTTTTCCAGGTTTTGTGATTTTTTAAAAATAAACTTTGCATTTTAGAATAATTTTAGATTTGCCAGAAAGTTGCAAAGATAGTACAGAGAGTTCCCATATCCACCTACTCTTTGCCCTACACAATTCTCTCTTTTATCAACGTGTTAGATTGGTATAGTACATTTCTTACAATTAATGAACCAATACTGATACATTATTGTTAACTAAAGTGTGCATTTCATACAGATATCCTTACTTTTAACCTAATGCCTTTTTCTATTCTAGGACCCAGTCTAGGATACCACATTACATTGTTGTCATATCTCCTTTGGCTCCTGTTGACGCTCACAGTTTCACAGAATTTCCTTGTTTTGATGGCCTTGATAGTATTGATGAGTACCACTCAGGTATTTTGTAGACTGTGCATCAACTGGAATTTGTCTGATGGCTTTTCTCATGATTAGACTGGGTTATGGGTGTTTGGGAGGAAGTCCACACAGGTAAAATGCCATTCTTATCCTGTCATGTCAGGGCCTTGATCAGCTGGCCAAGGTGGCCTTGATCTGCTCTGTAAACTTACTTTTTTACTTTATATACCATAGTTAAGAAGGGTTGGGGAAGATTAAGCTCCACTTCCTAGAGGGTGAGAAGCTACATAAATTATTTAGCATTCTTCTATAGGAATAATTAACTTATTTTGTTTCTCAATTGTTTCAGGTTTGTCCATTGGAAGCTCATTCACAATGATTCCCATGCCCCTTTGGCATGTCCCCATTGTTGTGTTTCTGGAGCACTTCCTTACTTTCTTGCACTACAGGATCCCTATTTTATATATTCCCTGCCTCAGCTGTTAAGGAATCAGTCATTTCTCCAAAGAGCTGCAGTTCCTTTTAGTAAATCAAAATGTCTTCCAGAATATGAAATATCTAATAGACTGTAGTAGCCAATAGAAACTCATTTGGAAGGGTATGTGTATGTAGGGTGGCTAACAAGGCCAAAGAAAAAGAGAAATATGGAAGGGTCATAACCCAATTTTCTCCTGAATGATAGTTTCCTATACATTTGGAGGCAACTTAGGAGCGTAAACTAAAGAGTCAGATACCTTAGATTTAAATGCCAACTCTGACACTTTCTAGTTGTGTATCAGTGAACATAAATTTCCTCATCTGTAATATTGGTATAGTAATCGCAGCAGGTTGTTGGCATGATTATTTAATGATATAGAGCACATGCTTTGCAGTACCTGGCACACAGTAAGCATTCTTATGTTAGCTCTTGTTATTAGTTTCATTTTTTTCCTTGTTATTAGTTTCAATTCTTTACTCATCTGAACTAGCTACTATAATGTCATGAACAACTGTGAACTCTCACTTTTTGTTTGATGCCTATGTTATTCAGCTTCCCTCTTGTATTTCTTTCCGTAGGAATATTTTTGATGGGATCCAGTACGTGTTCTCCTTTGAGATTGCCGAGAAGCTGCAAGTGGCATCACTGCCTGGTACTGGAGAAGCATGTGGGTATCTCTGTGTAGGTGACTTTTCTAGGGACCTTCAGCTTTATGTAGCTGTCTCTTCCCCAGACCCATATTCAGGTTCAGTCCACTCTTGGTCCCTATCAGTCTTTATCTTAGAGACCATAAAAAATCATGTCATCTGAATATGAAATATTCCTACTAGGGTGAACTGAACACCAAATCTCTTTTTGTTAATAGAATTAAAATTTTTATTATCCTCCTAGAAAATTTAGTATCCCCTTATTAGGGGAGCTCTTTAAAATGATTCCTTTAAGAAGAAATTGTCTTCCTTTTGATCATGTGATTCTTCTCCTAAAGGTTCTTATTTCACTGCAGATTATGTCTCAAATCTTCCTCCTGAGTGTCAGCACCACCTAAAAGATTGCCATATTTTTTATACCAGTAAGCCTTCTCCCATGACTTTCATATATGATATGTTCTTTTCCAATACTTTTCTTCACTAGACTACATTCAAATAACTTCAAACTCTACCTGGAGTAATATAAAGAGTGCTAATACCTCCATGTCTACTGCTTTTTGCACACTGCTGTTTATCCCCTAGAATGTTCTGGCCCCTGATTTGTGTATGGTATAAATACTCAAAGTATTCAACATTTGTTCATCTTCCTACATATCTTCTAAATATTTGTATCAATGTTGTCATATCCCTAAAGAACATGTATGTAAGTACCCCACTCAAGATAGTACTAAGTATCTTCTTATTTATAATTAGGAGAAAGATAAAGGCTCTCTAATAGGTCTAGAGTATACTCCTCTACAAATTTGAATAAGGAGACATCTTAAATTGAGATAGTTTCACTGCCTTCTTTAGTCCCTTGGGTGTGATTATAAGAAACTAATTCCCAGCTCAGTCCAAAACTGGGTATTTCCTCAATGAGATAGCTATTTCTGAGTCTTAGAGCTTGGACCCTTTATTTATAGTTGGCTACTTGGGGCCCATAATATCAAGTACGGTCTAATATTTCTGTAGAGATTGACTATTTTACATTGCCATTCCCAGTTCATGCTGTGTTCTCTTCCCCCATGGTTGTGATTGGAATCTTCATACTATACCTGCTCTGAGAAAAGAAATCTAGAGATAAATGGAGTAGAAGATTGATGCCAAATATACTTTGAGAGTAACAGAAAGGTGAGTACAAGGGAAATACAGTTTTTGATAATAGACTTTCTATAGTAGTGATTTTCTACAGTAGTCACCAGACTGACTTTCAGAAAATACCCTTCTCTCCAAATAGAAAAAAAAAAGACCAACTCTATTGTTTGCCTTCATCATCTAACTATACAAAGTACTTCTCTTACATTGAATGATTTTACTCAAAATTTGAGTGATACAAGTATAGGAAGTTATTTGTATGTAATTGGGTGGGAGCGGGGATTAGGTAGGAAGCCAAGATCTGGAACTAATACAGAAAGATAAAGTGGTAGAAATAGAAGTATGGGACTTTGGAAATTTAATACTGTCTAAATATGTGTATTGCCTGCCTTAAAATAAATTAGAGAGGAAAATGATGTGAGTCATGTTAAGTTAAAATGAAAATTCATGAAAGATGAGTCATCCTCATTTCCTACAGAATAAAATACAGAAGATTTTTTTTTTTTCTTCATTTCAGGATACACAACCAGAAAAGCGAATTTGGAAAATCTAGGTAGTCATTTTCTCTCTTGCTTTGCTATAGATATGTCCCATTTGATAGTGCTGCTGTTCCTCTTTTCATTTCTTTATGCCTCTTGTAGCAGAAACTGTTGCACATCACTGACAGGGTAATTCTGGGGCTGGTCCTTAGCCCTGAAGAAGGCTGGTTCATAGTTTGTTAAATGTTATATCAGGACTGGGGGCATATTGCATGTTCACCCAGATGTGGGGTCTTTCCTGGGAAAGAATCTCAATCTTCCTGGAAGCGTGGAAATAGAGCACTGTCATTATCCTTAGCAAATTATCAATGGCCAGTAGAAATACAAAGCTACCAGAGTTTCTGTGAGGAAATCTGGAAAGTAACCAAGCTAGAGTGGCAAAGGTGGGCTCAATCTGTAAAGAAATCACTTTGCCAATCTTCATCCAAGTGCGCACTAAACTATGGAAGACACAGATCCTGCATATTCAGCGGTAAAATCCTGTGCTGTCCATGTATATCACATAGTCCTGGATCTGAACTGTGTGAGCAGGGAATCTACCTATATCCTTTAGTTGACTAGAGAAGGTAAGTCCTGGGGCACATGGGTTTCATGTGTGAATGAGCTTCCATAGTTGATGCCTTTATTTTTTTAAGTTTATTTTGGGAGAGAAAGTCTGCGCAAATGGGAGAGGGGCAGAGAGGGGAGAGAACAAGAAGCCTAAGCAGGCTCCACACTGTCAGCGCAGAGCCCAATGCGAGGCTTGAACTCATGAACTGTGAGATCGTGACCCAATCTGAAATTAGACACTTAACCAGCTGAGCCACCTGGGTGCCCCCATCGTTGATGCCTTTAACTTGTTACCTCAACCCAAGTTCTAATCCTCTTGCCTCCTAGTAATGTTTATTGTGATAACATTCACATTTAAAGTATACAGTTCAATTGTTTTTGATATATTCACAGAATTGTGGAACTATCCCCACAATCAATTTTAAAATATTTTCATCACATCACAAACAAACCCTGTAATTTTTAGCTATCACCACCCCAAATCCTCATTCCATCATGTCCTGGGTAACCAATAATATATATTTTGTTTTTGTATATTTGATTTTTTTTTGTTTTGTTTTAAATGTTTTATTCATTTCTAGGAGAGAGAGAGAGAGAGAGCGTGAGCAGGGGAGGATCAGAGAGAGAGGGAGTCACAGACTGAAACAGGCTCCAGGTTCTGAGCTGGCAGTCAGCACAGAGCCCGACACGGGGCTCGAACCCACGAACCGCGAGATCATGACCTAAATGAAAGTCGGACGCTTAACCGACTAAGCCACCCAGGCGCCCCTGTATATTTGATTATTAAGGACATTTTATATAAATTAAATCATATAACGTGATCTTTTGTGACTGGCTTTAACTGAAAACATAATGATTTCAAGATTCATTCATGTTATAGCATATATCAGTACTTCATTCCATATTTATGTGTGAATGTTATTTTTCCTATATAATTCACACATTTAAAGTAAACAATTGTATTCACTGTAATCACAGAGGTATGCATTGTTAGTTATTTTAGATCATTTTAGAACTTCTGTTTTCAGTGCTTTTAGGCATATACCTAGGAGTGGAATTGCTGGGTCATATGGTAATTCTGTGTTTAATTTTTTAAGAAAGTCAAACTTTCCACAGTGGCTGCACCATTTTACAGTCCTACAAACAGTATGCAAAGTTTCCATTTTCTCTACATCTTTGCCAACACTTGTTTCTGTATTTAAATTTTTTAATGTTTATTATTTTTGAGAGAAAGACACAGAGTGTGAGCAGGGGAGAGAGAGACAGAGTGTGAGCGGGGGAGGGTCAGAGAGAGAGGGAGACACAGAATCCGAGGCAGGCTCCAGGCTCTGAGCTGTCAGCACAGAGCCCAACATGGGGCTTGAACTCACAAACTGTGATATCATGGCCTGAGCCTAAGTCAGACACTTAACTGACTGAGCTGCCCAGGCCCCCTGTTTCTATATTTTTTAAATTACAGCCAACCTAGTGAGTATGAATTGGTATCTCCTTGTGGTTTTGTTTTGCATTTCTCTAATAATGCTGTCAAACACTTTTCCATGTATTTGTTGACAATATGTAAATCTTCATTGGAAAATGTTTAAGTCCTTTGCCCATTTGTTAATTGGATTGTCATTTTGTTGAATTATAAGAGCTCTTTGTATATTCTAGATATTAGACCCTTATCAGATATATGATTTGCTAATATTTTCATCTATCCTATGGCTTTTTTAAAAGACTTTAATTTTTTAGAGCAGTTGTAGGTTCACAGCAAATTTGAGAGAAAGGTACACAGATTTCTTACATACCCCCTACCTCCACACTTAAATAGCCTCCCACGTTTTCAGCATTCCTCACCACTGTGATACTTTGGTTGCAATTGATGAATCCACATTGACACATTGTAGTCACCCAAACCTCCTAGTTTACTTTTAGAGTTGACTCTTGAAGTGAATTCTGTGGTTTTGGAAAAATGTATAATTTTATATATCCATCTTTATAGTATCATGCAGAGTATTTCCACTCCCCAAAAAATCCTGTACCTGCAACCCCTAGCTATTACTCATCTTTTTTATTGTCTCCATAGTTTTTGCCTTTTCCAGAATATCATATAGTTGGAGTCAGACAGCATGTAGCCTTTTCAGATTGGCTTCTTTTGCTTAGAGGTAAACATATAAAGTTACACCATGTCTTTTCATGGCTTGATAGCCTATTTATTTTTATCAATGAATAATACTGTGTTATCTAGATGTACCAAGTTTATTTATCCGTTCACTTACCAAAGGATATTTTGGTTACTTCCAAAGTTTTGACAGTTATGAATAAATCTCCTATGAATATCCGTATGCAAGTTTTTATGTGAACATAAGTTTTCATCTTTAGGTAAATACTAAGGAATGTGATTGCTAGATTGTATGGTAAAAACATGTATGGTTTTGTAAGAAACCGCTAACCTGTTTTTCAAAGAGGCTATATACCATTTTGCATTTCCACTAGCAGTGAATGAGAGAGTTCTTGCTGCTCCACATTTCTCACCAGCATTTGGTGTTGTTACTCACTGTTCTGGAGTTTGGCCATTCTAATAGTTATGTAGTGGTATGTCTTTGTTTTAATTTGCAGTTCCCTGGTGACATGATGAGGAACTTCGTTCATATGCCCTTATGTCGTATATATATCTTTGGTGAGGTGTTTCTTAGGTCTTTGACCCATTTTTTTAAATTTACATCCAAGTTAGTTAGCATATAGTGCAACAATGATTTCAGGAGTAGATTCCTTAATGCCTCTTACCCATTTAGCCCATCTCCCCTCCCAAAACCCCTCCAGTAACCCCCTGTTTGTTCTACACATTTAAGAGTCTCTTACCTTTTTTTTTAATGTTTTATTTATTTCTGAAAGAGAGAGAGACAGTGTGAGCAGGGGAGGGTCAGAGAGAGGGAGATACAGAATCTGAAGCAGGCTCTAGGCTCTGAGATAGCTGTCAGCACAGAGCCTGATGTGGGGCTTGAACCCACGAACTGTGAGATCATGACCTGAGCCAAAGTTGGACATTTAACCAACTGAGTCATCCAGGTGTCCCAAGAGTCTCTTATGTTTTGTTCTCCCTGTTTTTATATTATTTTTGCTTTCTTTCCCTTATGTTCATCTCTTCTGTGTCTTAAGGTCCTCATATGAGTAAAGTCATATGATACTTGTCTTTCTCTAATTTTGCTTAGCATAATACCCTCTAGTTCCATCCACGTAGTTGGAAATATCAACATTTCATTCTTTTTAATTGCCGAGGAATACTCCATTGTGTGTGTGTGTGTGTGTACCATGTCTTCTTTATCCATTCATCAATCGATGGACATTTGGGCTCTTTCCATACTTTGGCTATTGTTGATAGTGCTGCTATAAACATTGGGATGCATGTGCCCTTTCAAAACAGCATTCCTGTATCCCTTGGATAAATACCTAGTAGTGCAATTGCTGGGTTGTAGGGTAGATCAATTTTTAATTTTTTGTGGAACTTCCATACTGTTTTCCAGAGTGGCTGCACCAGTTTGCATTCCCACCAGCAGTGTAAAAGAGATCCTTTTTCTCTGCATCCTCGCCAACATCTGTTGTTGCCTGAGTTGTTAATGTTAGCCATTCTGATGGGTGTGAGGTGGTATCTCATTTTGGTTTTGATTTGTATTTCCCTGATGATGAGGGATGTTGAGCATCATCTAATATGACTGTCAACCACCTGGATGTTTCTTTGGAGAAGTGTCTGTTCATGTATTTTGCCCATTGTTTCATTGGATTATTTGTTTTTGGGTGTTGAGTTTGATGAGTTCTTTATAGATTTTGGATACTAACCCTTTATCTGATATGTCCCTTGCAAATATCTTCTCCCATTCCATCAGTTGCCTTCACTGTGCAGACGCTTCTTATTTTGATGAGGTCCCAATAGTTCATTTTTGCTTTTGTTTCCCTTGCCTCTGGAGATGTGTTGAGTAAGAAGTTGCTGCAGCCAAGGTCAAAGAGGTTTTTGCCTACTTTCTCCTCTAGGATTTTTATGGCTTCATGTCTTACATTTAGGTCTTTCATCCATTTTGAGTTTATTTTTGTGTATGGTATAAGAAAGTGGTCCTGGTTCATTTTTCTGCATGTTGCTGTCCAGTTTTCCTAGCTCCACTTGCTGAAGAGACTGTCTTGATTCCACTGGATATTCTTTCCTGCTTTGTCAAAGATGAGTTGGCCATACGTTTGTGGGTCCAACTCTGGGTTTTCTGTTCTGTTCCATTGATCTGAGTGTTTTTGTGCCAGTACCATATTGTCTTGATGATTACAGCTTTGTAATACAGCTTGAAGTCCAGGATTGTGATGCCTCCTGCTTTGGTTTTCTTTTTTCAAGATTGCTTTGGCTATCTGAGGTCTTTTCTGGTTTCCTACAAATTTTAGGATTGTTTGTTCTAGCTCTGTGAAGAATGCTGGTGTTATTTTGATAGGTATTGCATTGAATATGTAGATTGCTTTGGGTAGTACTGACATTTTAACAATATTTGTTCTTCCTATCCAGGAGCATGGAATATTTTTTCCATTTTTTTTTTTTTGGTGTTTTCTTCAATTTCTTTCATAAGCTATCTATAGTTTTCAGTGTATAGATTTTTCACCTCTTTGGTTAGATTTATTCCTAGGTATTTTATGGTTTTTGGTGCAGTTGTAAATGGGATTGAGTCCTTGATTTCTCTTTCTGTTGCTTCATTGTTGGTGTATAGGAATGCAACCGATTTCTGTGCATTGATTTTATTTCCTGCAACTTTGCTGAATTCATGGGTCAGTTTTAGCAGTATTTTTGGTGGAATCTTTTGGGTTTCCACATAGAGTATCATGTTGTCTGCAAAGAGTGAAAGTTTTACCTCCTCCTGGCTGATTTGGATGCCTTTTATTTCTTTCTGTTGTGTGTTTTCTGATTGCTGAGGCTAAGACTTCCAATACTATGTTGAATAACAGTTGAAAGAGTGGACATCCCTGTCTTGTTTCCTGAAAAGGGGAAAGCTCTCAGTTTTTCCCCATTGAGGATGATATTAGCATTGGGTCTTTCATATTTGGCTTTTATGATCTCGAGGTATAATCCTTCTCTCCTACTTTCTTGTGGGTTTTTATCAAGAAACGATG